CATTACATTACTCTCACGTTGTGAGCGTCTTATATATATATACCAGACAAATATATATCTTGTAAATGCTAGGGCATTCACGAAGGAACCAGATACTTCTAGAAAATAGGTGGCGTCAAAATAGTCACGTGATCTCGCTGACGCAACACTGCAAAGGAACAGACTAAACGAAAAAAAAAAACCTGTATATTAAAAGATCCTGGAAAACATGTGATACTCCCGCATATTACACAAAGGTTTATTTATTTGTAGTTAAGCGCAAATAGTGGCGTAGCGAGAGTTTGGTGAGTTCGGGGGAAAGGGTCCAAAGAGCCCTCCCCCAGTAAATCTGAAAAGAAAAAAAGAGAGAACATTGTGATATGACCAATACTAACAACTTACATATTCAGGGTTCGAAAAAACAACTTAAATTATAGTGACATTTTTTTAAAAATATACTATCACTGTATATTGGTTTATCGAGAATATAATTAAACCACTAAATACTTTTTCAGAAAAAAATAGAAAATATTGAGAAAATGTTACTACAAATGCCTTTTAGGCTTTATAAATCATGTTATTGAAACAAAAAGAGTCTTTTCATGCAACCTAGCTTGAGAGTTGCTAGATTATTAGTAAATAGCACATTTCTCAGGCGACGAGTTTTTAAGCTTGTATGCGAATCTTAGCCTTTATATTTTATTCAAAAGTATATATTAAAGATGGACATAAACAATGGCGTGAAGTTGGAGTGTGTATAGTGGCTCGAAGTGTGCCCAGGAGCAAGTGCCACCCTGCTCCCTACAGAACTGAGCGCAAAGCTACCTAATGGGCTATCTGTGGTATTTCCACCATGGGTATAGAGACCCGGTTTCTAGCGTTATAACGCTGCAGACTTATCACTGTGTCAATGTAGGCCACACAAAGGTAACTTGAATGAATATTGTTACGACAGCGGAAGTCACGTGACCCTAGTAGCGTACGTGAAGTTTCTCGAATTATTGGGGAAGCCCGAGTTTGTTCGAGATGCCCTCTTCTTTAGTATATAAGCCTGCCAGTTGGGTAATATAAAGTGTGTGTTTTGTACTCTTCGAGAGCGAAATTATAGAGATTGTAAATCGCTGTGATTTATAGCGTGTATTATAAAAGTTGTTAAGTTTAAAGTGACGAGAAACGTACTGACTGTGGAATTGCTCTGTACTAAAAGTTTGTATGGAGAAAGAGTAAACTGGTTTCATCAAAAAAGGACTTGTATCGCTGAAGTTCCTCGGAAAGTATTTCTACCGGGAATTAACAAACAAGCGAATACGTAACAATACCAACTTAAGGGTTTTCTCGACTATGTGTTATGCGTAACCTGCACGTTTTCAGAACAAAGAATATATTCAGAATAAATATTATAATCCTACAAGAAGATATAAACACGTGATGTATTCACAAACCACATTAGTAGTGAAAGTAAAGAAAACACAAAGAATGTCTTAATGTTTGGATGAATCTTTCTTTCCCTTGTTTTAATAAGTAAATATAACCTACTTGACTAACCAGTTTAGATTAAGTCTAATTTGAGTTTAAATCTCGTATATATATAGTTGTTCATTTTCCACGGTTTTGTCTATCTGTAAGTAAAAGTATGTTATTATTGAATCAGGGTGTTTATTATTATTGACTCACTTAATTGTAAAATAAAGTTTATTTATTTTATTAAATATCGCGCAAAGCTACTTGAGGGATATCTGCATTAGCTGTCCCTAATTTAGAAGTGATAGATTAGAGAGAAGGTGCTACTCTTGGGCTACTAGTAACAAGTGGGATTGATAGTTACTTTATAACGCACCCACAGCTGAAATGGTCGGTGATGAAATTCGAATCCGTGACCCATAAAAGTGAAAGACGAATGACCTAATTATCAGGCTATGACAGATAATTGAAGAAGACGAAGAATAAAAATACCCAGCCTGTTAAACTTTGGTTTAGTACAACTTGTCTATTTTAGTAATTATATAAACGTTAGTTTAGATGGACATCACAGTGGTCATACATGGATTGATAAATGGTGAGAATGGTAGAATTATGGGACATAAGTATGAATTTTGGCAAGTTAGGAGTCACCTTCAGCTAAGACATCTTTATTTTTTAACAGGGTGGTTAGCTTTTGTAACGGGCTGCTATCAGATGTGATGGATGGATGGAGTAAATTTAATGGGGGTTTAAAGGAAAGGCTTGATAAATATTTGAATGTTAAAGGCCGGCATGGAGTTTTTTTACCAATAGGTCCCTTGCTATTCTTAAATTTTATGTAACATTATTTTAATATGCGACAGTTAATGGCCACAGCAAGTAACAGTCATAATTTGCTGGCATAATAAAATAATAATGGAAATTTTGATACATCAAAATTCGGTATTTTCTCAACTTTTTGCTTACGTATATAAACATTTGAAAAATTAAAATAATTTGATATAAGTTTTTGCATATTCTTCGTAAAATATTTTTTCTTACTAACTTTGCTTTAAAGTGTTTCATAATTAGTTAACGTAATAATCGTAATTAATTATACAGTATTAGAAACCATCTTGCCAAAGAAGCATTGCTTTCTTGTTTCTTTCAGAGCGTCATTCCGAAGTAGGATTACTGATTAGGGTTAACGTTAGGTTTGTTTTGATGCTTAGTTATATCCATTGCATTTGTGAACAACATTCTCAGAAACATTTCATTAAAACAAATAATTAATGAAACTGAATTGAAAGAGAAACTATTAGTGATATTTCATCCGTAACAATTAGAAAAATCTTACTGACCAGCCACAATTTTAAGGTCCTACTCAATTGATAATGAAAAACAGCAGTCATTGTCAATTGTGATACAACTCAGACGAATAATAAAATAAAGCGAAAAGATTCTGTGATTGCTTAAGTATTGGTAAGTAAAAATTACTATATTATATGTTAGCCATTAGATTTTTATTATAACGAACGTGAAAATTTTCATAGTTGATTTTTTGTTGATATTCAACGAGGGTTCTACTTTATAATTTATATTTAAGTTTCACTTCCAATTTCCATTGTTCTAAGTGAGGGATAACATTAATAATGAGACATTTGGCCTGTGAACTAGGCTATCCTATTTTGCACTACTACTACTAGTACTAATACCACTCAACATTTGCCTCGCAAATTATTATAATAATTTTACACAAACTAATGTTAATGCAAAATTCACACCCAGTGTCTCCTTACATGGACATCTATGTAGACATTAAGTGTCAAAATCTAAGTAAAAGTGCTAATTACTTTTACATTCTAGAATTCACAATGTCATAGTTAATTGTATAAGTTATATGTTGCTGCAAAAAAGCCATTTGAATGTTGATGTTATGTTTAATGGTAGTATTTAACCAGTTCTTGTGACTCAAACTGCAATGCAGCATTATATCTTTGTTTTTCTCTGAGCAGCTTCTTTTAAGTTATTTGGGGAAAATAATTTGAAGTCCATTTATGATAATATGACTAATGTAACAAAATAAACTTATTTGTACAGTTTCACAGCTTATCAATCGAGTAACTGAATGTATCTGATAACTAACATTGAGCCAGGTAATTCTCTTAAACTAAATATTTCACTGATTTGCTGTTCAATCTCGAATAAGCTGACCATCTTATATTTATATCTCATCTCATCTCGTTAAATTTACTAGATTGTTGTGACATCATCTAGAATATTCTAGGTGTTCTAGAACTATTTTAATAATATCTTGCAACCTCTAACTAATATCTAAATTGAAACATTGAAAATAATTGCTTACAACACTAATGTTTCTTTTGATTGGGTGTGTGTTGTTGTGTATGTATTTGCAAAAAGGTTAGTTATTCCATCAATCCAAAATGTAAAAAATTAAATAGAAATGGAAGAATATATATATGTGTGTGTGTATAACACTGAAAATTATAGTCATTGTTATAAATGTGCATACTTCTTGGATTATCGAAATACTTTGGTGAAGAGATAAAAGATTTTGGTTTGACAAACCAAATGTATCTATCACGTTGTCATCATTTTATAATTGTAAAGCCTTTCAAGTAGAATGTTAATACAAGTCACTGGAATTATGTTGATTCTTAATGTGTTTTATTTCATTCTGTTCCAAAACATACAGAGTAAGGATGACATTGAATATTCCTCTAGTTTATTACAAAAAAAAAGTACTTCATATAAAACCATACATGAGAAGGATTGCAAAAAACAAAACATCTCAAATGATTAGAGAAAAATAGTCACACTCAAATATATTTTGCATTTTTTTTCATTGTACTGATCTATTTGAGTCTATTTGAAACTATGTTAACTGTATTCTCCACCACCTTATATATATGCACTTTCATAAATTGACCACATAAAGGGTGAATCCCTTTGTTTGAAATGTGTAGTCAAACTTTCTGAAATGTAATGATTTTAAGATTTAAATCATAAAGAATTCACTGTGAAACTGATCTTTGTATTTATTCAAGATAATGTCAATTCTGTTTTAAAATTACAGAACTATCCAAATTGATTCAAACTTTGATATCATAAAATTTATAACAAATTAATTGCTATTTTATTTTTCAAATACATATTCCATCGATTGGTTAGTTCTGTTCATCTGAAGAAGGACTTATGCTCAAAATGTAGTGTACTTTAAAAATAAAATAATTATTTGAGCTGAATTTTACCATATCAAAGTTTTGTTAAGGTGAGTATTTAACACAATGCTTCATTATATATTTTTTTATCCCATCCAAATTTGAAGTTTATAAAACAGAATCATTACTGGAGGTTCATTGATCATATTTGTGAGTACATCATTGTAAAGTTGTATTCATCACCCATTTTATTAGCTTAATTTTGTGTGTAAAATTTAATGTAAGCTTTATTAGTTGATTAAAGATGTGGTGTGGTTCTTTTTCTGCTGTGTATCATATTGTGTTTGAATTAATTAAAAATGTGATGTGTTCAACTGTGTAATTGTCAGAACATTGAATTAAGGTATTAGTAATGTTCAATGTTTTTATTTATTTTTAAATGATATGGATTAATACCAAAATACTAATTATTTATTTCATTATTAATAAATTTTGATAATACTACTGTTTTTTGTGGTGATATTTTTACTGATATTGGAAAAATAATTTTTTTATAAACCATAATTCAATAGTTCTTAAGTAAATGATATGTTTTTACTTTTTGTATTTTAAACAATTTGTGTGTATTGATCTTGTAACATTAATTTTTTGCAGTGTTGTTATGATGTTATTATTATTTGATTTTAAGTTGTTTATGCGCAGTATTTGAACTGGGTAATTAGTGAAATTTGCTAACCAATTAATCATCAGGCTCTTTAATCATTCACATTCAGCTACTTGATTATTCTCATGAGATGGCTAAAAAAAGAACTAACATTCCTAATCAGGTTTTGATTCCTGTGGTGGGAAGAGTACAGAAACCTATTGTGTAGCTTTATGTAACAAACAAACATAATGGCATTATTTCAGTTACTTGGATTGTTGGAATTGATATAGTCATTGTTATTTCAATTGATTATTTTGTGACACTAATTGATATAGTCATTGTTTATAGGTAATCAATGTAATTGAGTTAATTGATCAACTCTATTCAGTATATTAAATGTTAATTTTTTATTAATGATATAAATCTTCTTTTCATGAAAATTTTGTAAAATTGTCAAAAGTGTAATTGGTTGCATAGGCTATGTATTTCTTGACAGTATGTTGTATGTGTAATTGTGTCAAGTATTGTGACTATATATATATATCATTTGTAATACTGATATTTTTTATAAAATTTCATTTATGTTTTTTATAAATTATGGTATATTTTTTTATCTCATAATGATTTCATTTTCATCCAAAACTTTGTATTTTATATGTGTAATCTTAATTGTTTTAACATAAACTGTAATTCTTAACCAGTTCAAGAAGTATTTTGTGTTTCATATTGATAATTTTTTTCTTTTTTTTCTTGTGAAAAAATTACATGTTCCACATGCAGTACTTTCCTCACAATATCACTTATGGTTTTTAATCTTTGAGTTCTCTAAGGTTTTACAGTTGACTGTAGAATTCTGTCAATGTGTAACATGATCTATGGATTTGTGAAGCATATCTTGCTGCATTTTATACCCTCCCCCCCAACTACCACAATATTATTAATGAAAGAGGTTTAGATAACATAACACTTAAGGGACAGCAAATGGCCTATGCCGGTCCATCAAGGTTGTACCATCCAATTAAAAAAACATACAAACTCAGATCCAATTTAAATATTCATTGGACCTTCCAGTAAGTTCCTTGAAGTTTACCATATCTGAAAGCAATCCATGGAAAGTCCAGTCACCCTTTATTAGTAAAGTAAAACTTATTATAGTTCCATTCCAAAATTTATATTTGTGTTCCCATGTCCTATCATTCTCACCATTAAATATGAGAAAAAATTCCCTTAATAACCTTGAATACCTCAATCAAATTCTAATTAATTCTACTTAACCTGTTTTTGTATGGCAACCTTTCAGGTATCATTTTAGTAGCCCTCTTTAAACCCTATCCTACAATTCAATATCCTTCTTAAGATAAGGAGCCCAAGACTGAAAACAATACTCCAAATGAGGCCTAACTAGTGACCTATATAATGAATTAACCTTTTTTAGGCTTATATTAGTATTTATATAAATATAACCCCAAATTCCATTTGCCATACTACTAGCAACAGAAAGAATCAAATATAATTTTCATAATTTTATAATAACAGTTCCTAGAGAGTTAAATTAAAGAACTTTTTTCCTTTTAGTATTAATTGAAAATTGAACTTGTATATGTAAAAAACCAACAAAACACAGAATGCAATTTGGCCCTTGGTTATCAACTGATGAAACAGTATGTTCCAACCTTTGTAAGTAATAATGTAAGAAAAGTAAATTTAATTAGCTATACTCATTACCATGTTGATTTTGAGTGTTGCTCTAAGTAGATAACTTGATCTAATTGGATGCTAATTTATCCATTGCATCTTAAAAGCTTAATGAAATGGGTGGAAACAACTTACATGCAAAAAATCCATAATTCTGATTTTATGTAGTACAAAAAAATAAAATGAAACTACAAGCAAGTCAAATAAGGAAAATTTTATAGTAAAAGAGAAAAAAGTATTTTTAAAAAAAATTCATTTATATTCTTCTTTTTCTCATACTAATTTTTAAAAGAGGGTGAGTACTGAAAGATATCCAAAAGTAATTTGGGTGTTCTTAGTGACTTGCATTGCTTTATTAGTAAAAGTAAAACGGTACTATTCTATTGGTTTTTTGCAACTGGAACAATATCTGAAAAGTTTTCTCATGATACAACAGGCAGGAAATATATGTATGATAAAGGTTTAGGTCATACAACATCATTTGGACTTGTAAAGCTTTTACCTTCTTATATGAACTGCAGATGTGGATGACATATTTTCATTGGTTTCTTTATTTTTTTTGTTAACGTATATCTTTAGACATGAAGTTTTTTAATAAGCTTGATAAGCTATGAATATTTAATTTTACCAATAACAAATGTTCTAATTTCATTTGTCAATGATTCATGTGTAAACTTTCTTTTATAACAAATGGTAGTTATTATTTCAAAAATATGATCATGTCAATAAAACAAGCAAACAAAATTATGAGGCAAAAAACTTAGCTGGATTTGGATCAGCTACCTACAGTAAGGAATACAGAGCAAAGTAATTTCATTTGGAAAGAATAGAAGTTACGCAGTGTATTTTATATAATTTAAAATATATATATATATATATATATATAGTGTTATCTTGTTTCATCCTACATTGCTATCATGCAAATAAGTGATTGTCTTTTATTAGTGGGAAATGAGTAGCAGTAATGTGAATATCATTCACTTGTGATTGATCATATGAAGACATAAGTAATTAATGTTAACGTAAAATTGAGTAAGTAGAACTCTAAATTCATAATATTCAAAGGATGCCATAATATGTGTTGTTTGCAAAAATCCAGGCTTGGCATTTTTGAATTGTAGATATATTCTGTTTTACTTGTGAAAGTTCAAATAATTATTCTGATTTGTTTTTTAAGAATCTCATGATTAACCTTTTGATTATTTTTAGTAAAGAATAAAGGATTTGTTACAAGTTATAATTTTTGATGGCTTAACCAGCGGAGGTAAATAAGAACACATATTCTATTTTGTTATTGGTTATTTACTTGTATTGTGAGTTATGTTTATCACATAAGTAATTATTAACATTATTGAGATCTGCTATGCACTTTATCTTTAAACAAATTTCTTAATTTATTCTGTTATGTCAGTTGGAATTTTAGATAACATATATATGGGTTTAGAGAATTAAATTTAAAATACTGTTTAAATATGCCCTGAGTGTTCTAATATTTGTGTGTTCTAGTTACAAACACCTGCTTTGTGTCACACAATTAAGAGTCGGGTGTCCATCTATAAACCTAACCACTTTTTCCTATATTTATTAAAAATACCTTTGAAAACCCATTCATCTGTTTCTGTATTCATGCCTTAACTATCCTCCAATGGATAACTACCCTTTAGTTATAAATACATTATGATTTCTGTTTCTATGTACATGCATGTATGGTATTGTTAAGGATTGTTCACAGAGAAGTTCCTTACTGAATACATCCAGATCTCTTCTTAAGCATACAATTTAATCTTTACATACAAAGTATCAGCTTCTTTCATAAATAAGACATTGAAACAAACTCAAGGTGTTGTTTTATACATTAGGAAATAATAGTATATTTTTATCTTAAGTTTTGAACTGTTCATTAATCCTGAAAGTATAAATATTTTGGTACATTGAAAACTTGACAACTTTGTATAATATTTTCAGTACTTGGTCATAAGGTACATAGAAAACTTGATAGTCTTATAGAATACTTTAAATTGCATTAATATACATATGTCATAGAATAATTAAGGAACTTAAGCCTTCTATAATATCACAAACACTTCTCATAGGGTACATAGGAAACTTGACAGCTTTCTATAATACCACCAATACTTCTCATAGGGTACATAGGAAACTTGACATCCTTTTATGATTCCACCAATACTTCTCATAGGGTACATAGGAAACTTGACAGCTTTCTATAATACCACCAATACTTCTCATAAGGTACATAGGAAACTTGACATCCTTTTATAATACCACCAATACTTCTCATAAGGTACATAGGAAACTTGACATCCTTTTATAATACCACCAATACTTCTCATAGGGTACGTAGGAAACTTGACAGCCTTCTATAATACCACAAACACTTCTCATAGGGTACATAGGAAACTTGACAGCTTTCTATAATACCACCAATACTTCTCATAGGGTACATAGGAAACTTGACATCCTTCTATAATACCACAAACACTTCTCATAGGGTACATAGGAAACTTGACAGCCTTCTATAATATCACAAACACTTCTCATAGGGTACATAGGAAACTTGACAGCTTTCTATAATACCACCAATACTTCTCATAAGGTATATAGGAAACTTGACATACTTTTATAATACCACCAATACTTCTCATAAGGTACATAGGCAACTTGACAGCTTTCTATAATACCACCAATACTTCTCATAAGGTATATAGGAAACTTGACATACTTTTATAATACCACCAATACTTCTCATAAGGTACATAAGAGACTTGACAGCTTTCTATGATACCATCAATACTTCTCATAAGGTACATAGGAACTTGACAGCCTTTTATAATACCACCAATACTTCTTATAGGGTACATAGGAAACTTGACATCCTTTGTCAAGTTTCCTATGTACCTTATGAGAAGTATTGGTGGTATTATAAATCATAAAAGGATGTCAAGTTTCCTATGTACCCTATGAGAAGTATTGGTGGTATTATAGAAAGCTGTCAAGTTTCCTATGTACCCTATGAGAAGTGTTGGTGATATTATAGAAAGCTGTCAAGTTTCCTATGTACCCTATGAGAAGTGTTGGCGATATTATAGTACCCTATGAGAAGTATTGGTGGTGTAGGAAACTTGACATCCTTTTATAATACCACCAATACTTCTCATAGGGTACGTAGGAAACTTGACAGCCTTCTATAATACCACAAACACTTCTTATAGGGTACATAGGAAACTTGACAGCTTTCTATAATACCACCAGTACTTCTCATAAGGTACATTGGAAACTTTGACATCCTTTTATAATATCACCAATACTTCTCATAGGGTATATAGGAGAATTGACAGCTTTCTTTAGTACCACCAATACTTCTCATAGGGTACATGGGACACTTGATAGCCTTCTATAATATCACCAATACTTTTCATAGAGGACATAGGAGACTTGACAGCTTTCTATATCACCAATACTTCTCATAGGGTACATAGGAAACTTGGCAGCCTTCTATAATATCACCAATACTTCTCATAGGGTACATAGGAGACTTGACAGCTTTCTATTATACCACCAGTACTTCTCATAGGGTACATAAGAAACTTGACATCCTTTTATAATACCACCAGTACTTGTGTCATTGGGTACATAAGAAAGTTGACATCCTTTTATAATACCACCAGTACTTTTGTCATAGGGTAAATAAGAAACTTAATAGTCTTCTGTAATAGAGTGGTATATAAGCATACCATGTGTTTACTACCTCCTTGTATTAATAGAGAAATTTTCTATATTTTTCATTTGAGCAGACATGTATGCTGTTTCCACAAAGCATATTGGTAAAGAATGTTATTATGTTCCTTTTGTTTTAGCTACCTGTTGTTCTATGCCATTCACCTAGAGTAGCACATTTTGTCATCCCATGGTAAAGATAGCTGTAAGGTCACTTGTAGAATATGAAGTTAGATAGCTGTTTTTTCTTTTGGCAGTCTGGTGATATCTTGAGATTATGATCTCCCTTATGATATGTTTCAATGGGATTGACCTTCAGTGACATAGGTAGCACTCGCATCTTAAGAGAGAGACCACTAGAATTGTGTATGTACTGCTGTGTTCTTACTCTGTCTCTTTCTCTCTCAAGTTGAAGCCCCCAGTTTGGTAAGATCATATCTATCTATTTTATAAGTTTTTAGGAGAGTTTAGAGAGACAAGTAACAAGTAAAGGTACTGTCCTTCATCCAATACACACATTATTTTAATTGAGTGTGAATAAAGAGTGTTTACTTGTATTTTTACATTGTGTACAGTCTTTTTCTTTCTCAAATGTAGTCAAAGTCTGAGAATTTGAATTTACTCCATGATATATTTCCTGATCGAATCTCTTGTTATTTTCTGTAGACCTATCTTGTCACTCTTGGGGGGAATCAGTTTTATATAAGAATACCACAATACTCGTGTCATAGGGTACCTAGGAAACTTGGCAGACTTCTATAATACCTTCAATACTTATGTTAAAGTGCTTGTGTCATAAAGTACCTAGGAAATTTGACAGACTTCTATAATACCTTTGATACTTGTGTCATAAGGTACTTAGGAAATTTGGCAGACCTCTATAATATCATCAATACCTGTGTTATAGGGAACATAAGAAACTTGACAACCTTCTATAATACCATCAGTACTTGTGTCACAGGGTATGTAGGAAACTTTACAAGCTTTCTGTAATGCCATGAGTGCTTGTGTTATAGAGAATATGGGAAACTTGACACCTTTAATGCTGTTAATTTTTGGGTCTTGGAATTCCTAGAAAGTCTTAAATATAATCATATTCATACATTAGAGACATAAAGCAAGCTGATGTGAACTACTGTGTATGAAAATATATAATAAGACTATCAAATAACATGATAGGTGATGTTTAACGGCATTTGATTCCTGTGTGCAACAAGCCTAGGTTGTACTTTACACACATTCTTGTGTGATGATGATTAACATGCAGTATTTTCTTTCTTTTTTTTTCAGGCTGAAGATGAAGAAAATTGATCCCCTTTAATGTCCAAATTTATCATTTTTCCTGTTGTTGTTTTTTAAATGTGTCTGTATCATATTATAGTTGTATCATGTTATTTTAATGCTTTCTCAGTATTAAGAAATAAAGTGTGCAGTGAGCCACTTGTTTATCTTACAGTGGAATCATGGTTTGAAAGACAAAAACTGACATTCCATGGAACCCAACTGTGGAGAAGAAGTAAAACAATTAAAACCAGGGATGAAACGGGACGGCCCATGTGCCCAATGTGTTGGAAGACATTTTTTGACATGAGTAACCTTAGAAGACACATGGAGATCCATGATCCATATCGAAGTCCCCATGCTTGTTCGGTCTGTAAGAAACAATTTGCCTGGAAGACCCATTTAGCAACCCACATGAGAAGTGAACATCCTGATTATCAGTAGTTTGTTTTTCATTTTCTAAAGTTATGAAGAATGTTGTTTCAATTTTGAAATTGCATATGTTTCTCTATTTATGTTAGAATAAAAATGAAATTTTCAGACCACAGATTAGCTTATTCTTATTTTACAGATTATCTCTATGCAAAAGATATTTCACTCTTTGGCCTAGTTTTTTGTAAAATGTTCTATTTAGCGGCCATGTTACATGAAAGAAGAGACTGTAACAATGTACTTATATGAAATGTTTTTACTACAATGATAAATATAGGACATGATCCTGTGTAATGTATAATATAGTGAATAAAACTAATTTTTATACAAGTTGTGATTTTTCTTTCATTAAATTTATAGTATGTAGAAAACAGTAAAATTTAAATTAGATAAAAATTTGTATAAGGCTATAAAGGAAAACAACTTTTTTCCAATTTGTGCTTTAACAGTAAGCTTGATTATTTCACTATATATATGCTACTCAGTCTATTTGTATTAATAATAACAACATTGTGGCACTTTAAAATAATATTGCATTTTATAGTATTCAATATTAGGTTCAATGGAAAAAGTATTTTCACTAAAATATCTATTCTATGGAAAAGCCTTTTAACATTGAAGAAATACATTCCAAGTTAATACTTGTTGTGTATGAGGCTTAGGTTACAGAATTTAAAAAAAACAATAGCACCAGCACATAAACATTTCTAGTGAAAATATTAGAAGAATTGATACCAAAATGTAAAGTACCTGTTATGCTGCTTTAATAATATGTAGAGGGGGTATATTATTATTTTACCAACTCCTTCCATGGTGGTATTTCTTCCACCATGGATTTTATAGGTGGCAGATTGATTGCAATTTAATTGTTTAATGGTAAAATTTTCAAAAATTAGAAATGCTTGATTTCAAAGGTTAATATTGCATATGACTGAAAAAAAACATTCCTTCCAACATAATTTAACTGAACTAATGTTTTATACCAACCAGGATTGATAAGTCACATAAACATAATTTTTCTAAAATAATAATCTTTTAAAGAAACTGTCAGTTTCAACTTGTACATCATAACTGTTTGGTTTATTGTTTCTAAAATTTTAGCTTGGTTTATTTTAGGATGCTGGATTGAGGAAGTTTCATCTCAAGGCCAGCGAAAGGAACAACATTTTCAGTGTACCGTTTGTTCCCGTTCCTTTAACCGCAAGGGAAACTTGTCAAGACATATGGTGTTGCATGCGCCAGTGAGAAGTAAATTCACATGTCAGCTTTGTGGGGTAGAATTTTTTTGGAGACATCATTTAGTTAGACATTGGAGATACAATCATTCTGAACATTCTCATGAAAACTTGCAGTCATTAGCTCTTCAGTGATGGATGTAGGTTAGAGATGTCAGGAGTCATGCAGTAATCGTAACAGTCAATTTTTGTTTGTGTCATGTAATTATCATGTAGAATTGTGTTTTACTTTCATATTTACTAACGACTTGTTTTACGTAACCTGTAAGTTGTTGTTTTTGTGACGTTGGTTGTTTCTTGCTTTGATTGAAATGTGATGTCAGTTAAATAATTAAATTTGATACTTTAGAGGAACTGTAGAAAATCTCGTATATTTTATAAAATGTTATAATCAAGAAGAAGAATTTGTGAAAGACTCGGTCTTTAAAGCCGTTTAACTTCATAAAATACAGGCAATAATAGCCTTTCGTTTGTACTTGCTGAAAGCATTCGCGTGCTGTATGAAAGAGCAATCGATCGTTCGTCAACTATTGCGTTGGTCAGGTTAAAGTTGAGTCGAAATACAGCTTTAATGACGTCACTTTTAATCGATGTATTTGCCGCAGTTTGCCGGGATACAGCATGACAGCGTATAGAGTTATGCATCGTTTGAAATGACATAAAAAAATAAATTTAAAGAGTATAAGGATAACAAATTTATTGTCTGTATTATAAATGGCTAAAATGATGTGGGATATAAAATAGAAAAATATACAATGTTTCGTTAACCAAATTCAGGCGATTGAAGCATTATCAGTCTATATTGGGTATTGTTAAGAGCTTTTTTTGTTGTTGTTACCATTTCAAAAATGAGAGTTCAACGTGTGTTTATTTAAAAAGCGCTTGTTCCTTTAAATCTAAGGAAATCAACACTTTGAATACAAACATATACATAATATGGAAGAAGTTTACTTTCGTTTTAAGTAAAGTAAGAGTTGTCAGGATTATGACTTACTTTATTAAACAGTACTGAATTTGTTTAATGTTTTAGATTGTCAAAGTGAAGCCAAACTTTCAAATTTATATATATTGTTATTATTGTATCCACTGAACTAAAACATACCGTAAGTTTTGAGAGCAGACTACCACATCTAAAGATTTTCTGGTGAAATAGTGGTTCGAAAGGATTTTCGCCTTCTAACTTTTTTTTGTTTTTGTTTTTTTGTATACTAGAACGTGTAACTGCGTGTTTTGGGATCAGTGGTAGCATTTTTTTTTGCAGAATGGACATAACTTCATAGCTGGTATAGAAGAGTGGCAACGGACGGGGCTTTGCCTCATCAGGCTATGTCGAAAGCAGAAGCAAGTGACCTAGCAGGTTGATATTGAATCACGAACGGCTTAGTGAGCTCTGGCACGTCTTTTCCTTATCATGAAAACTAGAGCGAAATGGGAACAGAGATAAATAACAGGCTTCGTGAGATGTATTATTTCATTATATGTATGGAGTTCAGTAATAAATATGATATGAAGCCGCGTTATTCGCACATTTTAGAAATTAATATTGTTGTGGCAGAAATAGCATAGGCCAGACGTCGTTTAGTTGACATTTGTTCTGGTTATGTTTATTTTTGTTAAGTAATTCAAGGCAATTACAGTTGTAAGTTTACCATTGTTATTCTTGCAGCTTTGGTATTGTAAACCTGCAACTGTACAATACCAGTTATAAATGTTTGTTGTACGTTTATATATTGTTAGATTAATAACGGGCTACGTTATTCAAGGTAATTACACCTGCAGGTTTATTGTTTGTTGCTCATAAATCCAAAACTTGATTTGAAATTAAAATGTATAAAGTAACTTTGGTGTTAAACCTAGTCTGTGTTTATTATTTTATGTATCTACCTACTGTGTCTTTGTTTATTTGACTTGCTGTACGTTTGTTAATTATTTGTATAAGACTGACCACTAGTTGTTCATCATTCGTTACAGTTATGGTGGGTGGAAGACGAAGAGGTAGACCACCACGTGCTGCACACATGTCTCGTGAACCGGGTCTCATCTGTTCTATCTGCAAAACCAGTTATACTAACAAGACCATCCTGAAAAACCATATGAACATGCATCGACCCCAACGGCAGGTCTACTACTGTGAAATCTGTAACAAGGGTTTCTACTGGCAGACTAATGTTTACGCTCACAAACGAATGGTGCATCAGACTCCTCCACTCAGACACTACTCACCGATAAGGTCGAACAAATCACCACAAATGTCCTCAAACTAATGAATGTTTGTTTACACCACATATCTTACCCACACCCTTTTCACAAAATCAGAGAAAAGGTCACCCCAGATGAGGGCTGAAACACGTTCCCTTATATATATATATATATATCATATAATATCTTGTACATCTGATTTTAAAACGCGCAGAATTTCCACACCGGTTTTATTATGCTCTGATTGCGTAGTTTATACATTTGCGTAAAATAACCCCCTCCATTTCTTTTGTAATCGAAAGTCGACGTGTTATTGCAAAAATTTTTTAAATACAAGTTTTGTGACTGTATTGAGTTAGGACTAGCAGTAATTTGTCAATATCATGTAGTAATTATACATCAATAAGTCTTACTTAAATTCTATGATATCGGTATTAATACAGTGTAGCAACGAGTAGAAAGCAGGAATTTTAATAAGTACTATTATCTCTGTTGTATGGACGTGTTTGTGTGTTAGATGTTTAACGTTGCCCTGATATCGGTGTTAATACAGTATAGCAACGAGTAGAAAGCAGGAATTTTAAAAAGTACTTGACGTTCAACTCATATATATATGAATATTATGTGTGTTGTATGGACGTGTTTGTGTGTTAGATGTTTAACGTTGCCCTACTCTAGTTATATAGGTGCCGTAACATTTTGTGTTTAGATTTTAACTGATATTATGAAAAATCTAGCTAATAACTATTGAACGTATAATTATGTATTGTTTTGTGTGTGTATGCTCAGTGCCATACCGTGTAAACTTTTATGTTGTATTTTTGATATTGGTCAAGTTTTCAAATTACGTAGTGTGCCATAACAATTTGTGTGAATCTATTGTATATTGAGGAACGTATATTCAGAGATGTGCTTCATTTTTCAATATTATTTATTTATTGAATGTAATATCTGCATATACATTTAAGTCACATTTGTATATCTATCTTTAGTTACAGCTGAGCTTACATGACGTCCCTAGGTGGGTCGGGTTAAGATCCAGGGTTCGATTCCCAGCGCGGATATCCCATTGTGTAGCTTTGCGCTTAAACAAACAAACAAAGCTTACCCTAACAATTTTGAAGGTAGTTCATTAATAATATTATTACAAAGCAAAATTATTAAGCCTTCTAGAGTAATTCGAGTTGAAAATCAAACTTTACCTATTTACTAAAAGTAAAATATGTCAAAAGCTAATAGAACTTTTCATAAAACCTGTAATTGAATCATTGCTTATGAATTTTATGCTTTTTAAACGTTGAACCGAAAATAAAAAACTTATTTTGGAAACTTAAATATAGTCCACTATATTTCATCGAAGTTGATTAGATCTAACTTTGAACTGCCTCAGAAGTGCCACGTAGCGGTTTAAGCATTTTTTCTTTTGTAGGTAAAATTATTTTTATCAAAATATATGCAAGTGACTCACACTTAATGATTTGAGAATACCAATCATTTCAAAATTGTTTAGATGAAATATTTACTTCCACGATATACAGCTGTATGATATTTCTATATGATAACATCATTATTTAAGTCTTAATACTTGTTTTAGGCGAGCTCTGTAAATCTTTGAAAAACAAGGCGATTCTTTGGAGAGGTTGCGACACTTGCCCAGCAAAAGATAATACGCGTGATCCCAAGATAATACATATAAAATATGGTTCGGTCGTTTTTGTACTCTTACTAAAGAATGTCACATTTATTTCTAACTTCTGAATTAACCCACTTTAAATTAGTATATAAGACAATCACATACTGGAGGTGGCCACATACTTTCTTCGTATTTTAGCTTGAGTTATCAAGTGCACGGTGTTAAAAAATATACTGGTTTTTCTGTATTGTGTTAACACGTGCAGTGCGAGTTACAATTGCAAGGACACTTAGCTTATATTTCAAAATTTCTAACCCAATATCATGATACTGGAAGTTATTTATGAGGGTAAGCCATAACTTTCCACTGTAGCTTTCTTGTTGGAAGAGTAAATCATTTCATTCCACATAAGCCTCATTACATGGTTAAATATCTGTTCTGTACCTTCAACTGAGATTTCATTTTTACATACCTCCTTTTGTTTAGAATATCGTAGACTGAAAACAGGTATTTATTTGTAATTGACATTATTTTGATAGTAATTAATTTTATTAGGTAGGCAGGAAGTTTGTTCAATTCAAAAATATTTTGTATATATATATATATATATATTCGTTTTCATTAACTAATTTTTCCAAAGACGAATGAACTTATTAAGTGTAAAGTTACAAATTAGTAACAGATGAGTAGCGGACTAAGCACTAATTACACGTACCTGATAATGTAGCAAGTGTTTCAGTGAAGTGGATCATCTCCGCGGGCTGTTTCCGTTTACATAGATTTTAATATACAAATAATAAAATAAAGCAAGTCTTACTTTTCTTTATTATTTCGTGGTGGTATCATTTATATGAAACTCAGACTGGAGTTTTATTTACCATTTTTTTATATTACTGTTATCCAGGAAAATGAATCGGTGTGTTGATTTATAAAAAAATTGCAAATACCTGTTGAAAACTGCAGTTAAACTTTTATTTGACGTCAGGCATGGCATAATGTTGTGCACACCCCGAACTATTTTGCTCTTTATAAAAGTGCCATTCTCTCTTGTCAGCATTTTGTGCTTCCGAGTAGTGAAAGTGGGGTTTTCCCCCACACCTAAATTACGAGTATTTGGATCTTTAGGTCCCCACCCACCCTGTGTGCTGCTTTCACTGCCACAAACAGCTTATTTACCCAAAAGAAAGGCTCTATCACCTATTCATCCTGGTTCTTCCGCTTCTTGCTTGCTGACCTCGATAGACAGAATAGACACACATGTATATAGGTATGTATGTATGTACGTATTAATTTTTTCGTACATTACTGGCTATGCTATCAACATTAAGCCACCCATGAAATTTTAAATCTTGTGCGGGGTGAAGAGAAAATCATTTTCCGAACACCCCCGGTTAAGTATGACCCTAAGTTTTCCTGACCAGGGTTATAAGATTTTAAACCAAAATCATTGCCATGTTTTTCTTCTTCTTCTGTCGGCATTTAAAAACTAAGTGACAGTTGTATCTTAACCTTGGGATCTATGATTTGGACGTATAGTCAGAATATAGAATATTCTTTTTAAAAACTAGGTGAAAGTTGTATCTTAACCTTGGGATCTATGATTTGGACGTATAGTCAGAATATAGAATATTCTTTTTAAAAACTAGGTGACAGTTGTATCTTAACCTTGGGATCTATGATTTGGCCGAATAGTCAGAATATAGAATATTCTTTTTAAAAACTAGGTGACAGTTGAATCTTAACCTTGGGATCTGTGACTTGGCCGAATAGTCAGAATATAGAATATTCTTTTTAAAAATTAGGTGACAGTTAACCTTAACCTTGGGATCTATGACTTGGCCGAATAGTCAGAATATAGAATATTCTTTTTAAAAACTAGGTGACAGTTGTATCTTAACCTTGGGATCTACGACTTGGCCGAATAGTCAGAATATAGAATATTCTTTTAAAACTAGGCGACAGTTGTATCTTAACCTTGGGATCT